GTGTATAATAAATAACGTCTTATAAATAAATAAATTACAATATCACGCTGCAGTATAAAAATTGCAGATGTATCGTAGAATGTATTTTATATATTACTTGAATTTGCCATTTGAACTCGTCAGCCGAAGAAATTCTTACGCCAGCGTGACAAACATCTCTGAAAAACGACTCGACAAGGAGTAACAAACGGTGGATCGCGGCAGTTTCAAACAATAGCCGCCTGCAGGGAACATAATGATATGCAAATAAGTAGAACGATGGAGAGGAGCCAACGTCTTTATCGGGTATGGCGATTGCCTGCGTGCGAAAGCGGGTTCTTCGTCGGTGACTGGCCGTCGTAAATAAAACCGGCGCGGTGAAATTACAGTGGAGCGTAACGGCGTAATACGCTCGATGTACGGAGAACGGAGAAAAATGACTGACTCTCCTCGGTAGGTTACCGTTTCTCCCCCGTTTCCGGCAGCGGCCCCGGATCGCCTCTCTTTTCTTTCTTCTCATGAACTTTTCGTCTCGTCGAGCTGTCCCAAGCTTCCTGACACAGTTCCGCACTGAATTATCAACGCGCGTGTATTACAATCATGGCGAATGATCTATTGTGCCATTGTTTTATTTCACACAGTCTTTACAATATACTGAATATATATTATACTGATGATTTTATGGCAGATGATTTTCTGTGCGATTTTCCGCGGTATTGTTTCATGGAACACAGTTTTTATTGAATACGTGTATAATCCAGTGCATGTGTGTGATATAATATGCCATGGTTCTAGTTTCGGTAGATGATTTTTTGTCTTATTGTTTCACTGAAACTTCCACTTTTTTTTTTTTTTTTAATGATATGTGTAGTATAGATACTATACTGCAGCAATCTATACTGCTATATATACTGTACTATACTCTACTATATGAACACTAAAGACATATAGTATAGATACTGTACTATATGATACTATATATATACTAGTATACATTAGTATATATTAGTATACTATAGTGATATAGACACTACAATATAGTTCACTATACTGTGGTATGGATAGTATAGTATTTTGTAATATAGATACTATAGTATAGTATAGTATACTATAGTATAATATAGTACAGTATAGACACTATAGTGTAGTATACTATAGTATAATATAGTACAGTATAGACACTATAGTATACTATTCTGTAATATAGATACTATAGTATAATATAGTACAGTATAGATACTACAGTATAATATAGTACAGTATAGATACTATAGAATAATATAGCACAGTATACATACTATAGTATAATATAGTACAGTATAAATACTATAGTATAATATAGTACAGTATAAATATTATAGTATAATATAGTACAGTATAAATATTATAGTATAATATAGTACAGTATAGATACTATAGTATATTATAGTATACTATAATTACGATAAATACTATAATATAGCATAGTATATAATAGTATAGTATAGTATAGAACAGTACTATAGATACTATAGTATATTATATTATAATACTAAATTTCGTAAATAATCTGTGTTACTGTTTTACCCATTTCCACGAACATTTTAGAATATTTAAAATAATGAAATAAGATAATTGTCATTGACAAAGGGATTTAAACTGGACAGAGTGAAAAATTTGCTCTTACTGCTCTTGCAATGTAACATCCACCATCGTAAAAACATGAGATTGAATGCTCATCAGAGATTAATGTATCACAACGATACACCGATTAAGTATCCGAAGCACACGTGTTCATAAATAAGCGCACGCTTATTCGAAACCTTCAGACTTTCTGGAAAGTAGATCAGGAAAAACCAAGCATACCTCTCCTTTTAAATCACCATCGACGAAATTACCATATACGTGTACATTAACCGCTAGAGTTTTCAAAAAATGGGGAAAAATAGAATTTCAAACGGCAGAATTTCAACTGCCGGGCACCTTGATCGTGCATGCACCCCTCGTTCGGTCCACCCTCCCTCTCTCTCCGTCGGTCGTGCATCTGACGACAGGAAGATAGAGACAGGGTGAGAGAGAAAGGGAACGTTCATCTGAACTGGCGTAGGGACAACGAGGGAGGTTCTCGTTGTGTCAGACTGGGGGATCGTTCGATCTGTGGTAGTTGGTTTCGTAGCCAGGGGGCCCTAGGACGCAGGGATTGCCACGATCTTCCGTTACACGTTGGCCGAGGGCGTGTGTACCGATTTACAGCCAACAGTCACGGCATCGGCAGTCCACGCGATAGCTTGGCGTCTTCCTTTACGTACGCCGCGCCGCTGTCGTAAATAAGCCGTTATCTGCGACGATTTTTCCACCATTTTCGCGCCCTGTCGTGATAAATCACACGCTGCTACGTTTTCGGGGTCGTCGTCGTAATTTCTTCCTTCTCCGATGATCTCGTTTGCCAGAAAGAGTCTCGGTTTGTTTGTTCGATCAGTCGGACGACGTTCCGTGAAATTTATCCAACCCGTAGGAATCGAAGCTTTAACCCCTCTTGGCGCTGGCAAACTGGTTCGCGGACCGTAACGAGTGACCGAGTACAATACAGTATTCGTCGTTTGGATAGAAATTGTTAAGAAATAATGTAATAACTTATCATTCGTTTTCCCTAGGTTACATCTAAATGTAACTTAAAACTGAGAAAACATCGCAATTATCGGTACAATGTTTGCGTGGCACGTCTCGACGACAGGAATTCTTATGTTTAGTCACACTCGACGTTTTTAAATTGCCAAAAAAAAAAAAAAAAAAGATAATTGAAAAATAATTTGGAGTGCAAATGGTTAAGAAAGCAACGATTCTTGTAAAAATCGTGAATTCCAAGATAAATTCAAGAAAGAGGAAGTATCAAGTTAAGAATTTATAGACTATGGCAAAAACCAACGTCAAGGATGAATTCAACCGACTATGGACAACATTAAATCGAATGAAGATTCAGAATGTATTAGTTAGCTTAACCAAGAAAAGAAAAAAAAAAAACTGATTCGATTAAGGACAAAACACGCTAAAATAACTCATAAACATCTAATTAAAGAAGACTGACTCTTCCTTTTGCAATAAATGTGAAAAATCTGTCACAGCTCACATTCTGTACGAATGCATGAAATTTGAGTGGATTTCATCTTTGCCTTGACTTTTCAAAATCATCCGAGAATCATCACTTGATGGACATAAACCTATACTACAAAATACACATAAGTGATTATTAATAATCGATATGTCGATGCGAACTTCAAACCTGTACAAGAAAAAAAGAAAAAAGAAAAAGAAGTAACACTGTCACTTTCTTCTGACCGAGGAGAAAAAACTCTTGATTTACTTTACGTAAGCTTCGAACAATTGTCGGACAATGATTCCTAAAAATTTCAATCATCTTTGTACCTATCCGTTTCGTGGAACAGGGGAACACTCTGAGTACACGGCTCAACTCTCCGCACAGTCTATTACGAAACCAAGCCAGTCACAGCGAGAAAGAAGAAGAAAAGAAAAAAAAGAAAAAGTCGCATACTTTCTCGCGATTCCGGAGCAGAGGTCGATCGTGAATGAAGGATCGCACGCATCGAGCCGTGCGACGACGAGCGCAAGCCGTCGAGTGTGTTAATGTGTTTTTCCCAGTTGGGTCAAACACCCTAGGCTTAGATAAGGTTCCCAACCTTGGCACGGCCAAGCCGGCTAACTACTTTACGTATGTAGGTGCGCGTGTACGCACGATGCACACGGTCGTAGTCATTACACGCTCTGCCATCGAGAAACGAAGAATCGCGAGGAATGCGAGAAGAAATAGTATTATACTGTTGATATATGTAATTGTTATTAATAGTGAGTGGCTGTACGTTGTTTCTCGCGCGATAACGTGTATCGTAAATACATCGAAATTCTCCACGGCCCGGTTCTTAACCTCTTGCGCCGGAACGACATTTGGCCCAAAGTTGCAATGTTTTCTCAGTTTTTAAGTATATCGAAACGTATAACTCGGGCAAAACAAATAATAAATTTATTACCTCTGAATAATTTCTATCCAGTGATATCGTATCAACGAGCTCAAAACGAAAACGACGAAATTATCGTATATACGGTTCGGTCACTCGTTATGGTCCGCAATCAGTTGCCAGCGCAACGGGTTAAACGAGTTGTTAACCTCGTCACACACGTCGAGAACATTTGGCCCAAAATTGCAATGTTTTCTCAGTTTTAAGTATACTGAGACATAACCAAGGCAAAACAAGTAATAAATTTATTACTTCTTAGTAATTTCCATCCGGTGATACACCGATGAATTCCAAAAGAAGACAAATTATTGGATTATTGGTTTGGTCACTCGTTATGGTCCGTGAACCAGTTACCAGCGCAGGAAGTTAAAAAGGGCAAGATGTAATAATATTGATCTTCTCTTCGTTTAATTTAATAACATCGAGCTCGATAATTATCGAGTACAATATTGCTAACACTAGAACTACCAGGGTGCTCAAAATGACCAATTTATAATTTTTCACGGGGAGGAAATTTTATATATATATATATATATTTATACAGGGTGGCCACTGAAGAACTGAAGGGTTTGAAAAAGTCACAGCTTGTTTATTTTCAATCTTTGTTTATCTGCGAGCGGGATAATGGTGGTCATTTGAGGGATGTTGCTTTTCACACACGATACTGAAAAGAATCCATCAGTTTTATATCCAAATGAAATAATAAAAAATTAGGAAAGCATGTGTTTGGAAAAGGTTATTTCTGTTTTACATCATACGATCTTTCAGTGATCACCCTGTGTAAGTATACTATTGTATTTTCACAGACTCGAATGATTTCTAGTAAAATGTACAAATCCTTTCTCTGCTATAAATCTTACGCTTCGATCTTAGTACAGAAAAGTATGAATCTTACGTTAGTACGAATTCTGTTCGTGGAACACGTGTACGCCCACAGAAACAAACAGAAACATACTGGACCTTTCGTTTCGAAGTGAAAACTAAAGGTGAACTTTCACCGGCCGTAAGGTCTGCAAGGGTTGACGGTTGTTCGCGTAGAGATTTCGTGGAACTGTTGCGAGTGTGACGGTGGTACAGTTGGAGCAAGAGCGTGGCAGAAGCGAAGAAAAGACGCACGCACATGGTCGGGTTGCATGGTAAAGGTAAGCAGTAAAAGCAGTGGCCATGTCGCGTATATATATATATATATACACATATATATATACATATATATCGGCGTCAGACATGACCCTTGTCCTTCAAACGGCCTTTCTACGACCGTGTGCCTTGGTGTAGGTATACCATACGTGTCGCATACCTAACGACACGCGTAGCACACCGAGAAAGCCGGCCACCGACGATAAACTTCTGATTGTTTGCCTTTCGATCTACGTGCCTGTGTTTTTGCCGCCTGCACGCCTCTGTATACAGACTGTATCAAAAGATTGTAGGAAGAAAGAGCGAGTTTTTAGTAAAACACGCAAGGATTTAGTAATTTTTCATTTAAATAACGACTCCAGGTGGCGTCAAATGGCGTGATACACATCGAGTATTTTTTTCCTTTTCTTTTTTTCTTTAGCTAAAATTTAGCTAAGATCATTCAATTTTAGATAGAGAATGATAAGACGCGTACGCTGAGTTAATCTTCCTGGTATACTGTAAATCTCCGTTATTAATTTTGTTATTAATTAGTATCTTCTCAATGTATCGAAATTTTAGATGAAAGGTGCGATAAAACGGCGCGCGGGATTAGGTTTCTTGCGATCCATCACACACTGAGAAACTTCTGTTAAGTTCGTTTGCAGTAGACTCGATATTATATGATAAGGTGATGATCCAGTGAATAATCCTCTTAAAAATCGGGGCTCTGTTACTCGCAGTTCGATACGATAAAAAATGGCGCCTGAAGACTTTCATTTATTCTGAGTTTACTTAATTATTCATAATCTGTTGTCACGAGGTCTTAGAAGTGACAAATAATGCAATTTGGTAAATTTTTTTTTAAGGGATAGAAACCGATATGACAGATAGAAAAATGTCCCTCCGATTGGCATGTTATGTTTATAGATATATTTTCTACGATATACCTATAAAGTTTGCGCGCAACGTTTCGCGCAGCTCGCGTGCAACAAGTTGAATCTGCGAAATTCAAAAACAAACGCACGATAAATACCGGTGGCTCAAGATGAAGGATCAAAGCCATGGAAATTCCATTTGTCTTCAAATAAACTTTATCGATACGCCAACTTCCACGTTCTTCCAAAATCTCTTATATATGTATATGTGTGTGTACAATATACACATACAATATATATAATATATATAAAACATGTATAGAGTAACCTGAAAAAATGATAAAATACACACTAGCTCGCGAAAATATTTTTCGATTGTGCAGAGACTACAAGATATTACTATACCTGTATTTTACAAAAGTGCGTAATCAGTCAATCGTGTGCTAAAAAAAAATACCACACGACGTATCCACGTTGTACGCCAATTTTACGTCCGCAAATAAAACACGTAACTCGTCGTTTTCACGTTTCGACACTCGAAACGCCGAAAATGCTTTACATAATACGCGCGCGTATGTCAACGTGTGAGAACGTTGTCTGTGGTAAGTACCGGAGAGTATGTCTCGGCGCGAAAATCGACTCGTAACAGAGAGTTCCAGGCCACGAAAACCAGAGACTGTAAACCGAAATAGTTTGAGGTTTAGGTATTATACCCAGAGACTGAAACCGAAATATTGTGAGGTTTAGGTATTATACAGTATGTATTTGCTCACATATTAACGTAATATAACCGCTATTTGGGAAATCGGTTTTAATACCGGTATAAGACAGTCATATCGGTGTTTTCATACGTATTTTATTGGTATTTGATGTCCACAATGGTAAAAATACCGAAATATATACCGATACGGTACCGCTTTACCGACGAAAACACATTTTTCATTTTCTACGTACAGTGACTCTTATTAATACTCGGACATCGTGCTATTCAAAATATTGTTGTGGATTTCGATTGTTTATAATAGTAAATTTGGATTAATTTTTTAATAATATAATACAACATTCATTACAGTTTATAGTAACATAAATTTTATTTATTTATTGCACATACTTTTCTCAATATCAAACAATAAACTGAACTATGTCGAAATGTAGCGTGGCAAAAATATTCGGACATTTGAGGAACTACAATATTTGAACCTGAAAATTGTTGACATAAACAGTAATTAATATTTTGTTAGGTAGCCCTTAACTTCAATAATATATCGTAGACGCTTAGGCATATTTCCAGTTCCAATTTCTTTTAAGTAATTTAGCGGAATATTCTTCCATTCTACGATTAATCGTTGTTTCAACTCCTCTTGCGATTTATCGACGTACGACAATTAGTCATTTCTCACCGAGAAAAAGGAAAAACGTATCGAGAAATTGGTCATCTTTTAAAATGAAGTAAGAGTATCGTGGCTGAAGATATTGTATGAAGATACAACGATGAATTAGTATTAGAAATAATAAACGATACGTGAATAAGCGCCATCAAATTTACTATCGGCAGCTTTATGAAAACATTTAATCATTGTCTCCTTTTCCTTTTCTAATATATTAATATTTTATCTACCGGTATTATGCCGAAATACATCTACCGACCTAACATCGTTTTGACAGCATCGTACCGGTATTCGCACCATTTCCGTTTCATCAAACGTAATCGAAATAGTAAATAAACCTAAAAATACCGGTATTTTACCGATTTATCCGTAAATGCCGATTCGGCCTCTGACGAAAACGCGTCTGGATAAACTAAGTAAAGCGCTCGAGAAACTTTCCGCTCTTACGAAAGAGAGCCGGGTCTCTTGTCGCCCGGACACTCGATATTACCAGGAAAATCAGTCGGTCACCTTGCAAGGAGAATTCCCTCCGTGGGTACGAGGCAGATTGCGCCGCCGTGTGTGCACTCGCGCGTTTGATTGAACAGCCGAGGCGATAGGAACCACGACGAGAGAGAGAGAAAGAGAGAGAGAGAGAGAGAGAGAGAGAGAGAGAGAGAGAGAGAGAAGATTTGGAGCCAACCGGTGTTTACCCGTGATAACAGTAGATGTACACGCGGCCAGTGGCGCCTATATTGCAGCCAATGACGGATCAAACAGGGCACACTGCCATCCACCAACACTGTCGTTCCCGGTTTGTTTGGCCGCGCCTTTCTAAAATTACACGCACGCTCCGCCGCGCCTGTGTAATCAAGGCGGCTGCGTAATCCCGTTTTGGAGATCCTGTCGTTTCGTTTTGTTGACGGAACGCAGCTGCCGACACGAGCACACCGCCCTCACATTCGGACACACGCCGCTCCACGAGGAATCCCCGGCTCGAGGCGTAAAACGTAGATGGAACTTGTTGGATGGAGCGTGTATCCACGAGATTTACGAGTCGAACGAGGCGAGGGATTGGAGGCGATATATATATATATATACGATTTTCTGTTGGGATTGCTCGCGGTGTAGAACGACCAGACGGAAATATGCGAAATATGCGATTCCCAGTTGAATGGGATTAAACCGGGAATCATCGGCGGGATCCACGAAACGCTCGACGACCAACTGGGAAAACCTTTTTACCTGGGCTTTCGTTTCGAGTTAAAAATAAACGTATTATTTTAATGCCAAATACTCTTTCCAAAATTATCTAATAACGTCGTGCTAATTGTTCCGAGCGGTGGACTTTAAAATAGTCGCCTTAGGTAATAGCTTTATTTAAAAGAAATTCCTAGAATTCGCACGGTACCTGCCGCAGTTTCATAATCGCGCAACTAAAAATATACGCGGTTAGAAACTCGGTTTCGATGCTATACGCGTGTGTTTACAATTTTCTCGCGAAAAACTTTTAAGCAAAAACGAAAATTTGATTATCAAAGGTTATGGCATTTAACGGCAAATTGGAACGGACTCGGTTTAAGAAATAACACGCAGGATAATGTATACACCGTAATTGAGATTCCTGCGTGGAAATGATTCATAACTAGCGAAATGATACGATCGAATTGCACACGATACAAATTGCGAGCGTTATAGACTGATATAGCCAGCATAGTTTTCTGAGATCGGATTGATGTTATGAAGCGAGCAGCGCGAATCGCTTTGCGACATTCGTTTAATTAGAATTGCAGCAACCACCAGACCAACTGCTATTAATTTGCAACTGTTTATTATTCCTCTCCTAGTGCTTGTTACGGTAAAAGTACCTTGCTGGCTGACTGAACGTGTCACCGAGGTGTTCACAACGTGTTCTCCAGCGACGCACACAGCGCTGCAGCGGAAAAATCCTGCAGTCGAGACCGACTTCGGGAGGAAAATTTATTTCTTCAGCAGAGTACACGAATCCAATCGATCGCCAATGTCAGAGAGGCACGAAAAAAAAAAAAAGAAAAATGGCACCGACCATCGCAAGAATCAGCAAACGTGGCGAAAAGCGAAGCGAAGAAAATTGCTTCCTCTCTATTTCCAATTCCTCGGCAATCAATCTCTGCAATCTCAGTTAATAGACTAGAACCAAGCCAGATAGTAAACTAGGAATCATTTTCTTGCGTGTAATCGGAAACTTAGAGAAACTGGACGACGACGACGACGACGACGACGACGACGACGACGACGACGACGACGACGACGACGACGACGACGACGACGACGACCAAGTAAGATATGAAGCTAGTAGCTAGCCTTGAGACGAGTCCTCAAGGGACCAAGACCTCTGACCATGGGACGTTTTCATTTTACATGAACCTGATCACTTCGTTCTTGACCACTGGTTATGTTCGTCAGTATAATCAGAGAGAGGGGGGGGGGGGATTTTTTCTTCTTTTCCTTTTTTCGTAAATAAATATCATTCGAGAAGAGATCTTTAATTATCTTTCGATAATGATAGCATGTTTCAACGTTACGACAATCGATTTTAATATCGAACTTTACGACTTGTTCTTTCTTAGTATTAAGTATTTTCTCTTGTAATTACGTAATAAATCATAGTGAGTATAGTAGATTATTAGAATAAATTATAGAGGAAATTACAGCGACTTGGTTTGATGTGATAAATTATAACATCAATAACTCAAGTCAAAGTCGAAGCTCTGTTCTTACGTTTCCTCTTTATTTTCAATGTACAATTGTAATCTCGACTGTAACAATTACAAACTAAAATCAAGTTTTTTTTTATTTGGTATAAGAATTATCCGTATTGTGATGTTACTATAAAAACACAGGACAGGGAGCATGTCTAATAAATTGTTTTCCGTTTGTATCGTTAAAGTATGATAAATATGAGAAACACGAGTAGTACTGGCAACATAGCTCATATCTCTCAACTGTAATATAATACTAAAATATTAATATAATACTAAAATAATTTCACTATTGTCAGACGTGAATATATTTTAATTCATCGACACATTAAATATATCAATATATTAATTATAATATATAATTTATTTTAATATATTAATTTACCATCAGCAGGTCCACGAAATTCTCGCATAAATATGTAAATATTCCGTTCCCTAAATCTAAATAACCGTAATCCCATTTTTTCAAACGAAAAGATCGAAGATTGCATCGACAGATCTTTGATTCGCGATGATCTGAAACAGACGGCGAACCTTTTTGAGAAGTAGGTTAAAAATTTTGATCATTATTTTTTAGTACTACCTGGTGGGTCACTAAGTCAGTGGCGTTACTTGGAAAAGGGGAGGGGAGGATGGTTAAAAACTACTTTTTTTAGTTCTCACTTTTATAATCCTCTAAAAAGTTTACGTTTTCCCTTTTGTTTTACAACTTTTACTTTTGCAAGTGAAGAGCAAAAAATAAATGTCGACGTCGAAAAATTGATATAAAAGAGCTGACATCATGCCCAGTCATCACTATACCATTAGATATATATACTTTATTTCTTAATATTTTTTTATTGTCTGTTCTCTCTTTTATTATATAAAAACCTAGCAAAGCTAGCCATTCTGAGAACGGGATCTAGTGTGTTTTTCACTGTTTATTACATCTGTTTAATCGTAAGCGCTATATAAAATTTTTTGGATACAATTAACTCATATAACATTTAAGACTTAAAATACCTACATGTATACATAACCAAGTCGTAAATCTTCCATAAAACACAATTATGCATTTATTTCTCACTTTTAAACTCCAACCGAATACTTGTAATTTTCTTAACATTTTTTGAAAAGAGGGCTTCGAAAAATAATTAAAATTCTTTTATATATATGATGATAAGTTTATAAAAATCAACGCGTGGGTCATTTAAAAAGCCTGCGTGGATCAGTGTCTGACCCGTGGGTCATAGGTTCGCCATCATTGATCTAGAAGTTGATTGATTCTCGGCGTTTCTGCCGACCATAAAGACTTCTTTCACATAGGCCACCGTTGGAACGTAGATTCTAATACCACGAGCCGTTGTGATAATCGTCATTACCTTTCACGTTGGTTCGTGCGCCGGGTGCCATCGCGAGGAACGCTTCGCGCGATTAGTATTGAAATAGACGCGGAAGAGGAAACGCATTTTGCGTAGGTGTTACGCAATGCGAGTTGTTTTCGTGAAATGAGCGCGATGAATGTCTCTCGATGCTTTTGTCGCTGTTTCCTTTCTATTGTTTAGCGTCAAAGATCAATGTACCTGTGTGTTCTATAGAATTGATTATGGTTCTTCTACATTAGAGAAGTTGTTAGCAACTGGTTAATAATTAGAAAAGAATTTCCCTTATAGATTAAACAGATTTGGTTCTGAGAATGGATCAAAGAAGTAGTTTCCCTGCAATATTTTTGTGAAAACAAATGATACATTAACAAAATCTGTTTCCATAAATATCATATAATATAATAATTATAAATACAATTATAACAAAATAAATATTAATATAATTATGAAAATAATTATAATTTACTACATATAAAAGTAGAAAATTTCTAGTAATTTCTAGTAAAGTAGCATAGTAGCAATTTTTAACAATATCAGGGGTATATCCATAATGTTGTTTCCTTTAAATTTAAACAATGTGACAATAATTTAATTTACTATAACGTAACCTATATAATTTAACGTGCTTATTGTCAAATTATAACTGTATTAACTCTCAAATAAAATAATTCGAATTTTGTACAGTATCAAAAAACGACATTATTTATGGTTATCCCTGACCTAATACAATAATAATAGAAGTAATGGAAAAGACATTAACACAGAGTTCTTTTTGAGGAGGTCTATGATGCATCTGAATAAAATATAAAATATTTTTAATGATCGAACAAAATAATTTTTTAAACTTTTTAATAGTCTAAAGACAAGCATTCTTTGCTAATGTTCTCGTGATAACATTTCGCCATTAAGCACCGGAGTTACAAGCGTGTCGATACTTTTTTGACTCTCGAATTTTTAAATTTCCCACATAGTGAATTATTTATGGAAACAGACTTTGCTAATACGTCGCTTGTCTTCACGAAACCTCTAATAAATTTCTGCTATTCTTCTTGATAAATTTCAAAGAACGTTGATCTTCTTAAAATTGTACTCGGTCAGGATATATTTGGATAAAAGGGAAGGATATTTTCAGTTTCAAAAAAGAGGGAAGAGACCATTAGTTTGATTAAAAAGAAAGAAAGAAATATATCTGCCTATGATAAACGATATCTACATATGACATAATACTTCCACAAATACTGTCACGCTTTATATTTATCGTTGTACACCGTCACGTAAAATCACCGGCTTCGAGAGAGAGAGAGAGAGAGAGAGAGAGAGAGAGAGAGAGAGAGAGAGAGAGAAAGGCAACAATCCAGAGCGTTTTCTCTTGAAAGAACTTCGGCGAACTATTTGTACAGCACCTATGTACCAGGATAATGAGAGACGTGCACATAACGTATAAAATGTAACGTTGGCCGAGAGAAATGGCTTGAGAGACGTTGCCAGAACCGTAATTTGTAACAGCACGTCATACGTTCGAATATATATATGTTGTTAAATTATATTACAAATTGAAGCTGTATTATTTCTTAAATTAAATAAAATTTTGTATAGTATCAAAAAATTACGAAATTACTTATATATGTTTAATATATTTTATATTTATATTTAAATTTTTATATTATATTTATTATATTATTATATATTATATACTATAATATATAATATTAATATTATATGTTTCGAATATGAATTCGAAACAGCTGCTCTAGCATGGCGCGGAGGCGAACAATAATATTAATATTATATATTATATATTATTATTACTAATATTATATATTATATATTATTATTACTAATATTATATATTATATATTATTATTTATTATATACTATACTATACTATACTTTCGTAGTTCCATGAACAGAGAGGGTTTACGGGTAAATTTAATTTGCGCTGGATTTTCAAAAGAGCCGCAGGTATTTCTCTTCGAACGGGTAAAATCGCTTATTTTTTCTTCGTGCGCAATGTGCACGAAACGTGCAAAAGAACCGAGAGGAACCGGTAACTTCAATTTCAGCCTCAGTCTCGCGATGATGTTAACATCAATTTTCGCGGGGACGATAATTCAAAGAAGCCGTGGCGCAAGATTCATTCACAGAACTACGAAATCGTGCACGGGCCAATGTGCGCGGATGAAATGTACGATCATCATTCAGAATTTACCGGGAAACCGTGTCGGTTAGAACGCCGCCGCGGAAATTGCTGTTGATCCGCTCGGCTTCAATTTAATACGTTCGGGATGAATTCGAAACAGCTGCTCTAGCATGGCGCGGAGGCGAGCAATCTCGGAATGAAAAAGAAACGAGAGATATAGCGCGTTTCGCTGAGAATAAACTGGAGAAAAAAAGAAAAGAGAAACGATAATGGGTTAGGCTTAGATCGCGATTGAGGAGAAAATGAAAAGAAAGAGCGGATTGAGAGTTTTTCCAGAGAAATGAAAACTGGATTTAGCTGATTTCAACCACTTGCGCCTGGCAACTGACTGCGGACCATAACGAGTGACCAAACCGTATATAACAATTCGTCTTCTATTTTGGAATTCATCGATATACTACTGGATGGAAATTCCTTTTTGCTAAGAAGTAATAAATTTATTATTCTGTTTCGCCTGGGTTGCACTTAAATATACTTAAAACTGTGAAAATATTATAATTTGGGTACAAAAACTGGCCATTCCTGGCGCGAGAGGTTCCAATAACGAGGCATTGAATGTTAAAAATTGAATTGTTATCTTGAAGATGAAATGGCTCGACACACGAAGATGAATAACCTCCTGGAGTAAAAGAAACGAGAAATATAGTACGACGGGACGTATTATTGAGAACGAACTTAAAAAAGAATCTATATAACGGGTTACAGCTAAGAGAAATGAAATTGTATTTAGCTAATTTAATAACGAGACGTTGAATGTTAAAAATTAAATTATTCCCTAGGCTTTGAACATCTAGTTCAGTTAAATTCGATCGAAATTAGTTTAAATTGATTAATTGCAGATGAATTACGCGAACGACGCGACACAACGTAGTTGGTAAAAAATTGGAAAAATCCGAAGTCGGCTGTTTCAAACGCCGATCCAATGCTCCCTAAAGGAGAGGAGATACCCGATAGAAACGTACGAGAAGGCGTGGCGAAGTATAACATATAAAAGCGAAACAGCGTCGGGACCTAAGAGAACGGAACCGTGTGAAACGAGACAT